TACATTGGGCAAAAGTGAAAGGAGTTCTGGGGCACCTGGGTGGCTTAGTCAGTTAAGCATCCAACTTCGGCTCAGGTCATGATCTCACGGTTCATGAGTTTGAGTCCCACATGGGGCTCTGTGCTGAAAGTTCAGAGCCTGGAGCCCACCTCAGATTCTGTGTCTCCTCTCTCTCTGCTCTTCCTCTGCTAGCGCTCTCTCTCTCTCTCTCTCTTGCTCAAAAATAAACATTAAAATTTTTTCTTAAAAAGTAGTTCATTGTGCTTGATTAACTAGCAAACTCCCATTAGAAGTAAATACTACATTGAGACTAAAAAGAGAAATCTATTAGCCCTCAAACAAAAACCTACAATCTATAATATCAGAGAAACAAAAGGGGAGGGATATCTGGTCCTCAGCGGGGTATTTTTTTATTTCATTTTATTTTGCTTGTACAAGATTTTTAAGGAAACAATCTCATTATAAATTGTTCCGTATTAAAAAAAATATCGAGGGGCGCCTGGGTGGCGCAGTCGGTTAAGCGTCCAACTTCAGCCAGGTCACGATCTCGCGGTCTGTGGGTTCGAGCCCCGCGTCAGGCTCTGGGCTGACGGCTGGGAGCCTGGAGCCTGTTTCCGATTCTGTGTCTCCCTCTCTCTCTGCCCCTCGCCCGTTCATGCTCTGTCTCTCTCTGTCCCAAAAATAAATAAACGTTGAAAAAAAAAATTAAAAAAAAAATATCGAATACATAGACCTAAAAAAAATCTTAATAGACAAAATTGCAACAAGATAAACATGGGTTTTTTTGTTTGTTTTTGGCTATGTGGACATTGCTATACTACTTTGAAGGCGGTAAGAAATTCCTCATCCAGAGTCCAAAATGATAGGTAAACCCTAAAAACACAGAAGAAACAAAAATAGAAGTGACGGATTATCATTTGGTCAACCTTTACATCTCCTACAATGTGCCTGCACAGTTGGATGATTGTTATAAGCATTTGAGTTTCTGGATTTCTTTTTCAATCCATTCTACTATCTGATTTTCAAAGGAAATAGACAGCCAAAGATGAATCTTTTCTTGATGCAAAGGCCAGGATAACCGGCAAATAAATAAGTTCTTTTATTTTTGTGAGGAGTTGAAGCAATGCATCAGGACCAAGGGTAGAATGCAAATCTAGTTGTTGGGCCCAAGCAAGAGGCAAAACGTTAACACTCAGAACTTTGGTTCCCCGTTTTTAAGCAGAAAATGTTCTGAAGAATCCTGATAAATGTCAGTCGAGTTTCCATTTTATAAATTCTACGATATCTTACTATTTGATAACTTAAATGGTGCAGCATATATTACCACCAAAATCTGGAAAATAAGGAACAATAATGTTACATAATGCTTGTGATGTTATGTTTCAAAGAAGGTTTATGTTTCACTCTCTTTGTTTTAAATTTTATTTTCATACTTCAAGGGGCAAGAGTATTGATTATCTGAGCTGAAACACTTTTTCACAGATGAGGCATACAACACTGACCAGCAATCTTCAGAAAATAATACCTTTCATCCTGGAATGATTCAATGCCTGAAGTGTTGATAATAAAAGCCCGGTTCATGCTCATGAGTGAAGCATCCACCAGTGTCTATTCTCACTTTCAAAATCACCCACTGGGGTTTATGGATGGCAAAGACATAAATGAGAAACTTGCTCTCAGAGGCCTGATGGGTTTGTCATGAAGCTTTTCTATATAAATAAAAGAGACACCGAGAATGGAAATTACATTATTTTTAGTGCTGTGTTAAAGGGAAAGGTCAAGTTAACCCCTTAAGAATTCAACGAGCAACATGATGTACTATGTGTCCAGCAAAGCAATCCCCGAATGGCCCTTATGGACATCTGGTGTAAATCATCCATCTTTTTGCCCCATTAAAATCAGTGGCACCTCATTAAAACAGTTCAGCAGCTGAGCGCACACATTATTTGGTTTTCAAGGAGTTAACGGAAACAGCTATAGGGATCGGGAAGGTTTTTGTCTTCAGGTGTTCATAGTCACCCAGACAAAGCAGCCAGTTGAAGCATTTCAAGAAGATCTACTTTCCCTGTCAAGGTGAGAAAGGTATAGCCATTTTTGAAATGGGATTTAAAAAAAAAATCATCTCTACCTCCTGCCGCCCCTCACATTGCTAGCAATTACATCTTTTGGGGTCTGATAATTCTCTGGTCAGTAACAGTGCTGTCATATGTACTTTAACCCTGACCCAAAAGAATTAGTGAGTTTCTAAGAGGATATTTCAACCAAACGAGATGAGCATTTTGAAGTGTTACACTGTGGTGACCCCAATCACTCAGCCTTCGAGACAGGGAAGTTTGGTGGCTTGAAAACAAGGACCTGCACACTTTCTTCAGCCGAACACAGTGACTTCGAGGCACAATTGGGTCGTATCATTCAATGCTACTCTGAATCTTCCTTTTCTCTTGTTCACTATTTTCCACCATATTTCTTTCCATTCTTTGGCTCAGAATCTTTAAAATCATGTCTGTTGTGGTCTTAGAAAATGCAACATTTCAAGTAACTAGATCAGCTTTTTGCAAAGGACCTTTAAAGAGCACCTTTATTTGAACAGGAACAAAGATACTGGAAAAAAAAAGTTACACAGAACCATGCATTGCTAAAAGCTTCCGCACATCTTTTATTCTCCCAAGGTAAGCCATATCATATTCGGTTATAAACCCCCAGCTGCTACTGTATAGAATAACTTTTTGTTTCATTTCTGTTACACTCTCTCCCTGACTTTGAAGTGTTCTACCTTTAAAAATAGTTCATGTAAATCAACAAAACTAAAAGGCAACCCACAGAGTGGGAGAAGATACTTGCAAATGACATACTTGATGAAGGATTAGTATCCAAAATCTATAAAACAAAACAAAACTTTGCAAACTCGGCACCCAAAAAACAAATCATCCAGTGAAGAAATGAGCAGAAGACGTGACTAGACACTTTTCCAAAGAAGACATCCAGATGGCTAACAGACACATGAAAAGATACTCAACGTCACTCATCAGGGAAATCACATCAAAGCCATCATACAAATCAAAGCCATGATGAGATACCGCTCTCACCTGTCAGAATGGCTAAAATTAACAACACAAGAAGCAACAGGTGTTGGTGAGGATGTGGAGAAAGGGGAACATTTTTGCACTGTTGGTGGGAATGCAAACTGGTGCAGCCACTCTGGAAAAGAGTGTGGAGTTGCCTCACAAGTTAAAAATAGAAATCCCATATGATCCAATAATTGCACTACTAGGTATTTGCCCAAAGGATACAAAGATACAGATTCGAAGAGGTACATGCAGCCCAATGTTGATAAGAGCACTATTAACAATTGCCAGCTCTGGAGAGAGCCCAAATGTCCGTTGAATGATGACTGATGAGATAAAGATGACGTGGTATATGTAATGGAATATTACTCGGCCATCAAAAAGAATGGAATCTTACCATTTGCAATGCCATGGATGGAGCTAGACTCTATTATGCTAAGTGAAATTAATTCAGTCAGAGACAGACAAATACCATATGATTTCACTCCTATGTGAAATTTAAGAAACAAAACAAATGGACAAATGCAATGGGAGCTGGAGAAGGAGAGAGAGAGAAACTATGAGAGACTCTTAAAGACAGAGAAAAAACTGAGGGTTGGTGAAGGGAGGTGGGTGGGGTATGGGCTAGATGGGTGATGGGTACTAAAGAGCACTGGGTGTTGTATGTAGGTGATGAATCACTGAATTCGATTGCCATCAATATTGTACCATATTTTAACTAATTAAAATTTAAATTAAAATTTGCAAGAAAAAATAGTTAATATAAACAATAAATCAGTAATACATAAAACATCTGTTCAACTAAAATGGATCACCAGTCTAGTTAATCCTGCAGTTCCATGTAAATATGCCCGTAATTCAAACTTCCCACAGCTTTTTTTTTTTTTTAATTTTTTTTTTCAACGTTTATTTATTT